CGCCTTCATTCATTTCTCGCCGCCTCCCCTGCGGGCTCCCTCACCCCTTCCCAGCTGGTTCTCTCGGTTCCACGTTGGGTGTTCGCTCCGCTCCTCCTCCTCCTGTGACCCCATCCCCAGCACCCTGCAACCGCCTCACTGTGAGCCCTGCCAGGTACCTCTCCTCGTCCTCGGCTTTTCTCTGGACACTCTGCCTCTTAGGGAGCTCGCCCGCTCCCACAGTTCTAATGACCAATTTGTGTGAGAGTTCCCAAAACTGCATTTCACCCTGACCTCTTTGCCAGATATTGGGCATATCTTTCCAACTATACTATTTCCACTGTGTCTAAATGCATCTCATCTAAAACTGAACTTGTCTTCTCTCCCACTTCTGTCTCTTCCCAGATCTGCCAAATGCCGGCTCCATTCTCTAGTTTCCCAGGCTCATAACGCCACAGGTGTTCTTAGACACGAGCAGTGGGGACAGGGGCAGAAGCAACAATTCGACCATTACCAAGTCCTGTTAATGACCTGCTGCTGATGCACCCAGAGCCACTTCATCAATTTGGACATTATCATCTGACATCTGTATGGTTGCCGTAATCTCCTGAATAAGCCCTCTCCCTCCTTTCTTCCTTGACCAATTATCCAACACTACAGCAGCAGCTGATTTATTCTTTTAGGACACTGTTTTTCCTGGATTCCGCTATATCGTATTTAAATGCTTTAAACATTCTCAAGTGCCCAGAGGATATTTAGGCTAATTCACCTGGCAAGCATCATCGCCATAACCTAATGTAATAACCTTTGCCAATTTTTCTTCCCTAACACTTGGATGTAGAATAAACTGATCCACTCACAAGCATTTACTGTACCTTCTTTTGCAAATTATGTCATAAATATTAACAGTAAGTATTGGTGGAATGAATTGCTACCTCTCAGCTTCTTCTCACACTATTCTTGGCAACTGAAATACTTGATTCCTCCTTTCTGAGCTTTACTCATCATTTCATGTCTTGCTTATTATCTAGTAACAACAATTGCCATGATTTATCAAGCACTCGCTATACGTCAGGCATTAGGCTAAGCACCAAGCATACATTAGGCTCATTTATTCTTTATAATCCTGTATTGTGAGAACTATCATCGTCTCCATTTTATGGAGGAAGAAACTGAGGCTTGGGTAAATAGAGGTTGCATAGCAAATGGCCAAGTTTGCCACCCAAGTCTGAACTCTAACCTTTATAGCATACTGCCTCTTTTCTTATCTTCCCCAGAGATACATCTGTCTCCTGAATACTCTGAATTCCCTCCTCAGCTGCTCATCTGGCCCTGCCAGGTGGATCATTTTGCAGCACTGTGTGGTTTTTGTAGCCTAGCATGGGAATCAGGCATATGGACTCTGACGTCAGACTGCCTGAGATGGAATCCCAACTCCACTACTTGCTAGCTTTTTGCCTCAGGCAATTTACCTAACTTTGTGTATTCCCTCTGCTATAAAATGGGAATTATAATAGCACCTGAGGCATAGGATTATTGAAATGACCAAATGAATTAATGATCTTTATAAAGCACTGAGCATGGTGCCTGGCATGCCGTAAGTACTCAGTAAATAGTACCTATTAAAATTCTCGATGCCTATACCTTGCTTCCCATTAAGAGCATAACAGGGAAAAGATTCTCTACCTTTGTAATTCCACAGCATTTAGCAGATCTGTCCAGCATGGGAGACTCCACTGATCTGTGATTTTAAAGATTTCACTTTTGTGATTATCTTTCAGGATATAGGCAAGATTCCATTTATTTTAGCCATCCTGATCAGAGCTATACAACGTGAACTGAAATACTGAGCTGGTAAATAACTCGTGAATTCATGGTTCGCCCAGAGCCAATGCATCTATTTCACTCAACAAGCCTTACTGGAGCACCTACTCTGCAGGAACTCACAGATACTGGGGAAACGGAGATAAATACCAAACAGCCTCTCCAAGCGCTCTCTATGAAGAAAACAAACATTACACCCACAAGGTACTAACTCGAACTATATCAAGAAACATCAAAGGGGAAAAAGCTGCAGGAGCACATTTTATGATTAAAAAACAGCCCCGACTTATTGTCTATCTATATTTAGTTCAACCCAAAAAGTGGCAGATCATGCAAAAGATAATTAGTATTCCTTTTTCTTGGGATTGGAATACAAAAATGATAAAATGACCTTGAGTAAATGTATGACCCCATAGTCCTCTGGCATCGGAAGACCACATCCTGTTTACCTAGCATGTTTAATCGGATTGTGTAAAATCCTCAAGCAACAGGGAGCCCATGTATCTGCAGTGAAGTCAGGGGGGCCGTTCCAATTTAGGCTGGAAAGGCAGCACCGGACACCTCCTCTTCATTCTCACATGCAGATGCACCTGTGCTTCTGATAAACAGCAGCAGCTAGAATTCTAATGCCTGATGCTCGCCACTGCTGCTACTTCCGGCCCCAATTTCTCAGAGTATTGCTTCTGCTTCGCAGTTTAGCCACTATATCTCTAATAGCCAAGATTCAGTGATTCTCAGCATCAGCTTTATAATAGAATCACTTTGGAAGTTAAAAAAAAAAATACCAGGCCCCTTCCCCAGAGATTCTGATTCAGTTGTTCTAGCAAAGTGTGGTGGACATTGTTTTCTTTTTGTTAGAGCTCCTGGGGTGATACTAATGGACAGCAGGTGTTAGAATCTGCTAATATCTGGACCAGGCCATAGTTTGGTCTACCTTCAAAATCAAAGCAAAACATCCACCATGTGGTTACAAAGCTGACAGAGTCCGGCCAATCACATTAATTCTCTATGCCACACGGCTTTTATCCTCACACTGCTGACTGAGAATGGGGCTGAAAAGCCAGCGAGCTGAGTTTCTTCTCATCTCAGTGATGAGAAAAGATCCTTCACACAAAAAGATTCATTGCATGATGCTAGGCAAATAAATTAACCTCTGAACCTCTCATTTTTGTATTCTATAAACTAAGAATAAGATACCTGCTTTAGCTGCAACATGGAGAAAGAAGAGATACGAAAGTCTTTAGAAAACTAACAAGTTGCATATCCATATAAGAGATTGAATTTATAATATGTAGAGGAGATGGATTAGCCTTATCAACCAGAGTAGGTGGCAATCCATGGAACACTTTTAACTGCTTAAAAATGCCCCAAGTACCACGCGGCACAGTAAAGGATATTACTGTGTTGTAGTCATTAAAACCATACTCAGTGAGCGCTTTTAGTCTACAGGGTCTCAAGGGAAGTCTGTCATGTGGCCGATACTGTGCAGTAGAGTGGAATTATTAATTAGATTACCCAGGGATTTGGAGAAGGGAGAAAAGCAGGCAAATTTAACAGGATGGTTCACTACAGAATGTCAAAAATCAGCAGTACCTACTGGCCTTCTAGTTTTGGGTGGAGAAACCTTGAAAAGGGTAAAAAAACATTACAAAATAGCAACTGAAAATGTTTTGTAATTACTCTTGGGTTTGACATTGCTAATTGCACCTTCTTTCCAAAGCCTCTCTCCATGACCCATATTAACTTGTTCATAGTGATTTTTTTCTTTGTCACATCTCTCCTAACGATGTATGGGGGAAGGGGGATGAGGCCACATTTTTACAGAAGACTAAAAGAGATAGAAATCTGTTAAATGCATTTTTTATCCATCGATTAAAAAAGGAATCTCTCCCACCCTCGCCCCATCTTCTCTGGGCCAACTACTTTAGCTAGGTAGCTAGCTATTATCTGTTTTATATCTATCTGGTTAATTTCATTTTATTTTAGTTTCCCTCGTTTAATTTCCAGAACTAGGCTACCTCTGATGGCCACCAAGGGAAAAGTCCAGACCACGAATTGACAAATCTAGAGTTTAATCCTTGGGAGGTTGTTATTAATATTAATATTAATTGTGAAAGCCACAACTAACACAAAAATAGTAACAGCAAAAATGAGCAAAACTGTTTCAGACTTTTCTAAGTATTTAAAGAGCTATTCATGTTCCCTGTGTATCATTTCATCCATTCACCGAGAGTGAGGGGTTGTTAAGCATCATTCCGTGAATCTGACAATGAGAATCTATTGTACTCATGCGCCCGGCTTGTACTAAGAGCTGGGAAGAGCAGAAAATAAAGCCTTTAACCAGTAACACAGCAAACTACTGACAGGACAATCTTTGGAGAGGGGAAAAAAGTGTATACGGGGAGTACAGGGCTTGAAAACCTAATAGACATGCTTTTACGGTAAGAATATATTCATGTATTATTTGTGCAATTCAAAAATCTTAAAAACCAACTACATTAGCCCTTTATGAAAGGAAAAACAGAGCTATAGTGGAGCAGCATGATGGAAGCAAGCCACACATCACAGAGCTATTCATCCTTTCTAAGTGCTCAGAACAAGTCTGCCCGGCTCTGAAGCCCCGACACTCTTCTGGAAGGACAGACGTCCTTCCTGGTGCAGAATACAGACTCCTTTCCCCTCATTCATGGGTGAGAGGTTGCAGCTTGCGTCTTACATTTCAGAGGTCACCCCTGGCCCTTGCAGGACTGTCGGAGAGCGGAGAGACCACCCCAGTCCCCCTGCTTCTCGGGTGCAACTGCCCCTTCCTCAGCACAACCGCAACAATGGCGCCTGCCCGGGGAAAGGCTCATGGCCGGGCAGCGAGGTGGTAGTTCATGAACGCTCTGGTTCTTATAGTATTTTCTGGTTCAGGGATGCGAGAATTCACTTTGTAAAGAAAAAAACCCCTCTATGATAAAGAAAATCCTGAAGGATCCCAGCTAGTTGCCTGATACTCAATCTCCGTTAACATGGTCTCATCAGCTTGACCAACAGCACAATGCTCTTGATCTTCCCAACAAACATGCCACGGCCATACAAAAGGAAATCAGGCAAAGAAGATCACAAGTGGAAGACGCCTTAAGAGAAGTGACTTAGACGCCCCTGAGATCTTGCCACAAAGGGAGACAGACCACAGTCGGAGAAATGCCTGTTACCTGTTCGGCACCCTCGTCCCCAGGCTGGCTCCTGCTCTGATCAGATGCCTCCAAGCTCCCCAGTTTCCACTATGGGGCCATTTGCCCCGCAGACTCCAGGAGGCTTCACGCCTGGTGGAGGGACAGACGAGCAGGACTCATTTCGAGCTTTCAGGCAGGACGGGCAGCTCTGTGCCCACGCTCAGCCTTGCCAGGGCCTCCCCAGCTGCGATCTTCTGCGCCTCACAGAGTCATCCCTGAGAGCCTTGCTGCTGTTTTAAAAACAAGAAGTGATTTCCTGGTCCTCTTCCCCTGATGGCGTGTGCAATTTCCCTCACGCCCATGGGAAGTCCTTCAAATCCTTCTTATCTGGAAACCTCTCCACCAAGTGGACGGACTTGTTTGGCCAATGCCCTAGTTTTTGCTTTCCTTTCACTAAAGAAAAAAAATCAGAGAAATGAAACCAGAGCAAACCAAAAATGGGTTAGAGCTGATGAGTGGTATAGGATGCCTGGTTGAAACCTTTATAAGATGACCACTAACTTAGACTGTGATTTCAGAGTGGAAGGAAAATTAAGATTATCAACCAGTTCATGTCTTTAGCAATGCTACGAAGTCAGAGAATAGAAGAATCTCCAGACGATGAGAGACCTGAAGAATCCTTTAGTCCTGACCCTGGGCTTTAGGGAGGGATGTACTTCAAATATGCCACATTAGAGGGATGTCTGGTTCTCCTGGGTTTCCAGAGAAACTCTGCGAATATTTGTGCATTGAACTATAAATTTGGTGATACTTAAAATATCATCTTGACAACACTGATATTTAAAGGTAAGGAGATATATGGTAAAGACCCAGTTGGCAGGCTGCAGTCAGGTTGTTGGGTTTAAAGAGGAATTATAATCAGAGTATTTGAGCTGGAAGTGACCCTTCCCATCCTCATTTTACAAGTGAGGCAACTGAGGCCTGAGGAGAAACAGTGACCTGCCCAAGGTCAGAATATAGATGGGAAGTAAAAGATTGTCATCCAATTGCTCTTAAGCTTTTGTATGGGGAATGCTGCTGCTCAGTTACCTCCCTGGAGCTCTGCCCACAGAAAGCCTGATGAATGAGGCCTGGCTTGGAGCCCAGGAATCTGCATTGGAAATAGGTGCTCCAGGGGAGTCTGACGTGGGTAGTCCCGAGACTGTTTTAAGAGCAATTCTCACAGGGTCACAGCAAGGACTCCAGAGTTAGACTATAGGGATTCAAACCATAGTCCCACTAATTTTATTTTTGTGGAACCATAATAATAGTGTTGAGTTTATAGACTCAGCTGAAACTCAAGAAAAACAGTTCAGTAGCTGTTAGTTGTTCTCTGGAGCCCTGGGCCCTAATGCCTCTAAGCTCATCCTCTCTCCCTGCTCCACACTGCTTCCCTTTTCCCTTCTTCTTTTTTTTCTTTTCTTTTTTTAGAAATAGGGTCTTGCTGTGTTGCCCAGGCTGATGTGCAGTGACTATTCACAGGTGCAATCACAGCGCACTGCAGCCTCCGACTCTTGGCCTCAATGATCCTCCCACCTCAGCCTCCTGAGTATCTGGGACTACAGGTATGAGTCACCTTGCCTGGCTTTGCCTTCCCTTTTTGCCATGATATCACTCTGGGGCGTGACAGCAACCATCTGTGATACTTAGGCTTGAGACAAATGTATCTGGGTAAAAGGAGGATGAACCTTCAAAATTGTATTATTCTGCTTCCAGGTAGTGATTCTCATTTGTATTCTACAGCTTGAATTCGACCCGTCTTGCCTTAAGAAACAGTTGCTGTGGGGGTGAGCTCCTGGGCAAACACTTTGTCTTCTTTTCCTGCTTGCATTCGGGTTGCTGGGTACAGCTGGCTCTCTGACATGGAACGGGGCGTTGTCAAAGTGGCTGTCCCTTTCCTTCCCCAAGGAGCAATTCTTCTCGCCTGCAGTCCCTGCTTGTTGTTAGGAACACTCTGTGCTTGCTGCATACACTTTACGATGAAAACAAAGGCAAATAAAAAATGGAACCACCATCTGTCCTCAGCGGCAATCCGGAATGAACTATGCGTGGAGATACCCTGCCCTGTTGTAGTGACAGCTGGAATTGACTGTCGCAGGGGCCGTTCTGCACTCTGAAATGTTGCAGTTGGTGGCAAGTTGAACCCAAACTTCTTTAACCAAACTGCAAATGTAGCCAGAGTAACTAATTACCCTGTCATGTTGTCCGTGGTTGTTAATATGAAGGGTCTCTTACAACTTGAAGGTACAGCCTCATTAGAGACAGAGCTCCTCCTTTCTCAGGCATAAATTCCAGCACTAAATAAGTATGCATTTTCCAGCATGTTCCATGTGTTTCACCCCTCTGCCCTTCCCCCTCTTTACCCAGGTAACCTTTAGTCTCTTTTTAAGTTCCAGGTGTTATTTCTTTCCAATGACTTTCCTAACTCTCCAGCCTGAGCCAGGGTTTTTTTTTTCCCTGATCTCACACTGCCAGATACGTGTCTTTTTGCAGTTACCACACCACATTCAAACGATCAGTTTAATGCATTGACTGTAAGCACCTGGAGGGCAGGTCCTAGTCTGATTTGTTTATACCCAGCTCCTAGTATAGTGCTGACATGTAGTAAGTTATCAATAAAAGCAAACAAAATTAAACTGCTCCATCTCCGTTTCCATTGCTGGTTCCTCCTCTCAGCATTAGAGTGTTCCATAGCTCAATCTTGGAAACTCGTCTCTGTTGACACTTATCCCCCAGGTGATCTCTACTAGTTTGGGTTTAAATCTTTGTGCTGATGATTTCGAGTTGTGTATCTCTACCGTGGACCTCTCACTTGACCTCCTGACCCATATATTAAACTGTCTACTTGACATCTCCACTTTGGGTGTTCAATGGGACCTCAAACTAAACACGTCCCAAATGAAACTGCTGATCTTCCCTCCCAAACTAGCCATCAACAGGAAGTATCTCCCGTATTAGTAAAGGACACCTCTGTCCTTCCAGGTTACCCAGACCAAAGCCCTAACAGTCATCTTTGAGCCCTCCTTTGCATACTTTACATTTAATTTGCCATGAAATCTTGCTAGCTCTACTTTGAAATACATGCACAATCAGACACTTCTTACCCCTTCCACCACTATCACTCTCAGCGAAGCCATCATTATCTCTTGGCTGGATTATTACCACAGCCTCTGATTGGTCTCTGTGCTTCTCCTCTTGCCCCCTTGCAGTCTGCCCTCAAGACTGCACTTAGAAGGGTCCTTGTAAACCACAAGCTATGTGACTATGACGTCCGCCTGTGCTCAGCCCACCTGCGCTCCCACCTCATGCACTCAGAGAGCAAGCCCTTCCAGTGGCCTGTGAGCCCTGCATGATCTGCACCCCTGCCCGCCCCACCATTCCCTCCCTTGGTTCTTGGCCTCCCTCTCTCCTGCTCACTCACGCGGCCCCTTGCACACCAGGCAGGCTTCCCTCTCAGCCCTCATACTGGCTGTGCTCTCTGCGGGGACGCTCTTCGCACACGTTTCCCCCTGGGCACTCCCGTAACCGCATCCACACCTTTGCCCCAACGTCGCTTTCTTAGTGAGGCCCTTGCTGCACCATATTTCACATCCCCTTACTTGCTTTACTATTTTCTCATATCACACATCACCTCTAGTACACTGTAATGCACTTTAATTTTGTTAGCTGTCTCCACCTTCCGCCCCCGCTCTAGAATGTACCCTCCCTGAGGGAGGAGATACCCGATGACTGGCTCATTAGGGAAGAGCATTTGAAAGTCTAACACACAAGCAAAGTTGTTAATGCCACAGCCCTGGAGCATTACATGTAAAAGCACAAAATGGTTCAACTTGCAAAACACTCCCACCTCCACATCTTGGCATGGTAGGCCCTGTTTTTTTTTTTTGTATTTTTTTTAATCCACAACCAGATGTTGTTAACCCTTTTGACCCAATGTGGCCCCAGGTCAGCTCCCTTTTGGTATTTCTATCTCGAGGCCAGGAAAATTCTCTTCTGGCATTGACCTATCCTCATGCAAGGAAGGAACCGGCAAATAATTGGGCAGATTTAGAGTATACAAATGGTCTTATTCTTATCTCGGTGTGTATATTTTGGCAGAGTGTCTGTTAATGGAATTAGTCATATCTGAGCTCAGCTCTGCAGCCGCTCAGGTTTTATTTGCACTTACTGCTGCTGCACCCGTTCCACCAACAGACAGTGTTATGACCTCTTTGTGCACACATCTTTCAGATACTGATGTCATTTTGCTGTGGAAGATCCCAAAGCTTCCATCTTTTGAGCCAAATGGACACAGTTGAGAGCCCCCCTTCTACCACTTCTCTTGCTTCCAGTGATGGCCCCAGCTTCTGCCAGAAACTTCTGCCACACTCCAAGTGGAACCCTCTTCTGGACTCTACTCCCAGCACTACCTTCCCTGCCTTTTCCTTGAAGAGGAAGAAACAGTATGTGGGGGGACAGAGGCAGATTTGAGGTGTGGCTCCATGTGGGTGTCATCGACAGCCCTCTCTTGACACTCACTGACCTTTCCTTTGGAGGTGCTGACCCCCAATGGCCAGCGAGCCACCCTGAGCCTTCCTATCACACCGTTAGTTCTTAGAGGTGATGCCACCCATGTAGCGGGAAGCCCTTTCTGATGCCCATGGCATGACATATGTCACCCCCATACCTCAGCTGTCATGCACATGTCAGACTCATTGACCAAATTTGTCACCGACTTGTCCCCTATCAGCCCCCACTCCCCTAGTGCCATGGAGAAAGCAGGGTATTCGAGGATATGGGCATCCTTCTTGTGTGGGCCTGGGAGAGAATCTATTTAGAAGGAAGCTGCACTTTTCTTCTAAACGTGCACATGTTCTTTCGCCCATGCAAAAGAAGTCACTCCTATTCTAACCTCTGCTCCTTTATCGGGCATCCTGGGTGCAGGTGCTTTGCAGAGACAGATGCTGCATACTGCAGATAACAGCAGGGATGATCTGCAAACATCCGCAGACCCTGGCTTGGGCCTGCAAAGCTCTGTCCTCCTGAGACCACCTCCCACCCAAATTCCACTGCTCTGTGCTATTTTCAGGGCCTCAGCATTTCCTTTGACCCTTAAGGAAACAACCAAAAAAAAAACTTTCCTCAGTTTTATCTCTGATTATAGAGACATTTGACATTTTTTAGACAAATATGTGCTGAAGAGTCCTCCATGCCAGAAGAAGTATCAGAATCAA